TAAAAAGAAGAATGATTTATATGCAAAATCCCTAAAGCAGAATTTCTAAATGCATAGCATGATTGCAGAATTTCCTAAAGCAGGATTTCTAAATGCATGAAAGGTTACAGTATTGCAGAGCATGCGGTCAAGTATACAGGAGTAGCAGTTTTGTTTTGATGCCATTTATCCTAGAAACAGGGTTTCTAAATGATAGCAAGAATATCAAAATGAGATGCTGAAACAATAAACCTAAGAACATGATATCTAATGCATGACATGCTTGGAATGTATTAGTCCTAGACATGGATTTCTAATGCGCATATAGGAAACCTAAACCTAAGGCATGGTTTCTACCCATTGATATTGATAACATGGGTAACTACCCTCCCCTTTTCACTAGCCAACCCCAATGTTCGTTTACAAATAATTATTACAAACCAGATGAACTAATTACATAAGTAGATAAGAAAAAGAAGAAGTTACACTATAAGGAGCCTGAAGCAAGCCCAAGTGATTTCCCCAAACCTCTAATAGCCTCGAATGCCAATTTCAAAGACAATATCATTGTCTAGGTGCGTCAGAGTTCCCTAAGGATCTCAAGGATCTCGGGCAGTGCTCACACCTAGACTTGGTAACCAAATTGAGTAAATGCAGTGTGGAAGGGCCAGCCTCAGTGTGCCAGAGTTCAGAGGGTTCTCAAAAGGATCCCAAGGCAGTACACACACTGGAGGGGCCAGAACCTAGGGACTTAGGAATAGAGTGAGAGTGCTTTACATAGTTTTGAAAGGGTTTTAGTAAGAAAACAGTGTTAAAAGAGACTTGTTTGAAACAGTTTTGTGGAGTAAAAGAGAAAGTCATGCAGTAAAATAACTTTGAAAAGAGAGAGTTACATAATTAGACAACTGCAGATCAAACACGGAGTCAAACCAACTCATTAATACTTAAAGAACACAAAACAGAAGGAACAAACCTACACTCATGGGCAAAGAGATGCATCAGGTGGCAGAGTGTCACCTGACCCCGGCTAACTCTGCGAATTTCGAGATCATGCGGATAAGCTTGTAGATATAGGGGGAAAGTTGAGTCGGGCACACACAGTAATAGCAGCAAAATTCTTCGTCCAGGGGAAGAATAGGGAAAGAGTAACTGATAAGTAGGATTTTAGCGTGTTTTATGCCCCTACTTGCCTATGTTTTGAGTATAATTTGATACAAAATAATCCCAAAATGCTCACAGGTTATGCTTGATTGCAGGTTTGAGCGACAAAGTGACTGAATTGTCAAAGATCAGCTCAAAACAGAGTGAAACCTGCTCAAGCATCAAAGGCCAAGAAAAGTGAAGGAAAAAGATCCTAGTGCGGACCGCACAAAAGTGCACGCGGCCGCACTAGGAGATTCAGAGAATTGCTAATTCAGGATTCTCAAAATGCGGCCGCGGTTGGATTTACGCGGTCCGCCTTCAGCTCACGCGACCGCGCCACATTTTCACGCGGTCCGCGTGAAGAGATTCAGAGAGATGAAATTTGGGGACCAAAGCAAGCCACGCGGCCGCGGTCACATTCACGCGGTCCGCGCCAGATCTCATGCGGCCGCGCTACACTTTTGCGCGGCCCGCTATCCTCAACTTCAGAGAGCCAATCTTCAAGATTTCAAGAGCCCACACGGCCGCGCTACCTTTTTGCGCGGCCCGCGCTGACCCCGCAGGGGTATTTTTGTCCAAGTTTTTCAGCCACTATAAATAGATCCTTTTTCCATTTTTTAGGTTAAGTTTTGTATACCTAAGGCTGCTGAGCTCGTGAGAACATTGGGTTTAGCCATTTTTGGCATTTTTAACCTCTAATTTTGTATTTCTTCCTTAGTAATCAATTATTATGTTTGCTTCTTCATCTATTTTTTTAATTTGTGCATCTAGCATGAGTAGCTAAACTCACAAGCTAGGGTTGTGGCTCAACCCTAGTGTGGGTAATTAATGGGTGTTGCAATCTAAGGCTAGATTGATATTGGGTGTTTGCTATTTGGGTTAATTTTAGGTTTTCATTAAGGATTGGTAGTTGCAAACACTGATTCTAGCTTGGTGGGTTTGACTATTCTTGAGAAAGAAAGTCTATGACCCCAAAATTGACCCAACAAGAAATTGGGATGGACCCATGAGAAATGGTAGTCCTAATTAACGGGTTAAACCTCGAGAGAGTAATTACCCCACTTGAACCCTAGTTGCTTGGTCAAATTGGCCTACCCAATTGGTCTCGAGAGAGTCAATTGGGCAAAATCACTCTCTCTACCGAGAGGTGTGAGAGTGGATACAATTGAGCAACGGTTATAGCATAAGCCCCAAATAAGTCAATTTACCCTTAGTAGCATCTACCCGTTAATTAGCCACCTAGGTAATGCCACGACCCTAGTGCCTTTCTCTATATTAATTACAACTTAGCAATATCTCCATAGCATAATTTAGCTTCAAATATTAGTCTTAAAGTAGAAGTTATAAAAATCAAAACCGAAAATGTTAGAAGTGATATTAGAAGCACAATTACAATTCTAAACTAAGCAGATAATACAACTCCCTCTCAAGCTCCCTGTGGAAAATCGATCCCGATCCACTATCGGATAAAAGCTGTTGCGATCCGCTCTTCCTACCTTAGTGTAGTGTTGAGTCGGCAGCGATCAGTAACCCATATAGAAGGGGTATGCGTAGACGACACAGTACCCAGGGTGGTGTATTTGCACCACAACATGCCCTTCGGGGATCAGGTCTATATGGGCGAGAATTTTGAATCTGGCCCTAACTCGGTAAGAGCCGCCTCTGTCATCAACGACTCTGAAATTTTAGGGTCGTCCTCTGGCAACTTCGAGAAATCAGACCTAGCTTTCTCCCTACGAGGAACTATTTCCTCCGCCGCAGGGAAGCTCCTAACCTCTGCAACAATGGCAGCCCCATCATTACTAGGGGGCATGCTCACTGCCGATGGAACCGGATCAGATGTCCCCCCAGAGTTAGAAGATGGATTAACCATCTTTGGTTGTTTATATGTAAAGAAAATGCAAAGCACGGAGGAGGTATCAGTAGCAGAAGTTGCTAAGATCAGGAAAAATAGGAATGCAAAGGTAGAAATAACGAAAGCAAGAACACTGGGGGAAGAAGAAAGAAAGATGTAGAGACTCAAATACTTGAAAACACAAAGGATCTGGTAAAGTGTCTTCTATCCCTATTTATAAAAATCCAAGCACCATAAACAAGAATATCAATCGTCGATGCACAAATACCGAAATGGCAGAGGTATGGGAGGCGACGCAACGCATCGAGAATATGCGTAATAATGACGCATGATGTCATGACGTCATTCTGAACCGACGTAATGGTAAGTTATGGCTCACAAAGTGCCACGTTACCACCTCGCCATGAGCGTCATTACTCAACCTGCCCACCTAAGTCTCTCGACTACGACTAGCGAAATTCGCTCATCGAGGTCGTCTGAGAGACGGCCTCGATAAGCAGAGGGACTAACTGTATGGGTCAAAATCTAACTAAGGATATTCGACACGAAGTGGTATTACTAAAAGTAATTTGGCCGAGGTCGATTAATAACCAATAAAGTCACTGCCGAGCAGTCAATCATGGCCGAGATCAAGTGTCAGAAGGAGCAGTAGCGGCTAGTTTAGTAACAAGATTTTTGAGGGAATATTTCATTGAATATTCTCTCTGTTTGTACTTTTAGTGTTAATTGGGGGTATGTCTCTTATAAATAAAAAGAAAGACCGGGTGATAGGCATATAATATTCTCTGATAAGAACACTATATGAAAAGCAGACTTTCTCTCTAGATAGAATACAAATATATCTTTCTAAAGAGATTCGATCTTCTATTATTCTACACCTTTTTCACCAGATCCGAGAAAGGTCCTAATATTCTGATCTTTTGTCCATCATTCATCATTGTCAGAAGAAAGAATCATCCACCTCATTCAACATTGGGTTAAACATTTTCTTTATTTGCTTTAGTGCCATTTATTATCATTTATTGCTTTATATTTACTCCTCATTAATGGTCTCAAAACATCAAATGCTCCTTGCATTTGATCTTCTGTGAAGCGCTACTCTACGTTATTCTCATTAATTGGTTATAAATCTGAGGTTATTATTATTAATTAAGATTAACACCTCACTATTCACATTAACTAGTCTAATCAAAGATCTATATTTTTTGGTCAAACACTCCACTTCTTTCTTTCTCAACAAAAACCATTACAATCCAAAAGATTTGATATTGCTACCCTTATCTTGCACAGGTGTTATTCCTCATATTCATTAGCGTTGATTGTAATCGTCCGCTAAAAACTTAATTGACGGAATTGCCATTATTAGCACTAGCATCACGACTTTACTTGCTCAAACTTAGAGGTCGTGGAATCAAACAATTCTGTGCAGGCAACAATCAACCAGTTGTTGTCCACTTAAATTTAGAGAAATCTTTATCTAATTAAGTAATAACAATTTCTCATTTTTAAAAAATAGTTGTGAGAAAAAATTATAAAGATGTAAACTCCTTTAAACGCTCCATTAGCAATCATTAAAAAGCTTCTAGGTTTTCAATTTGAAAATCGAGTTTTGCAAATTTATTATTTATTTGGATTACAAATAATAGAAAATATCCATTGGAGTTTGTCTCAATCTCGAGGGAGCTCGGTGGAGATTCCAATTGATTTTAATTAAAATTTCAAATTGAAACTCGAAGTGAGACAAATTAATGGAAAGCATTTTGCATGCCAAGTGTACAAATGACATAAAAAATACATACAACTAACATAATTGGATGCATGTTATATGTGTTTGACCAAATTCTATACAACAAAAAGTTATATAACAAGTTGCATATAAATTGCATATTTTAACTGGATTCTGTACAACAAATTGTGTGTATATATATATATATATATATATACTCCAATGCTTTCTAATGAAATGGAGAAACTATATCTGTTTAATCGGTCTTAAGATCAACCTAGGTGGCCGAAACATTGAAGGCAGGAAAAAACTTCTAATTCACTTATACTACGCAAGAAACCCACAGCGTAATATTATCTCAATGGTCAATAACAAGGCATGAGAGACCATAAGCTTCTTTAAGCTAAAGTGACACATTGGACATATTCAAGTGGTTGGCTATTTGCATGCACATTTTCTCCAGCATGAGAGAAATGAGAGATGGAGGGAAAACATCTTTCAATATTACCAATCTACCACATAACTTATTATTACCTTCGGTGAAACCAACAGAAAGAGTAAGCTGATGAGTGATGATCACAGGGAGAACTAGCATTTTCTTTTATTTTTTTGGTGATGAAGACCAAGACCAAGAATGGCATCAGAATCTGAATTCAACTAGCAGCGATGCACCAGATCCCAGGATACAACTGTCGAACTCCACTCTTGTATCAGCGTGCAGCAATGAACTAGGGTTGACTTCTTTTCTAACACATTGGAAGTAGTCTAAATGCCATCAGTGATCAGCTACAAGAGATTGTGAAATTATATTCCAGTAATAGGATGCATTAAGCTGCCATAGGGAAGTTCAGGAATCAATGCACTCAGATGGGAATATTTAATAGAAACTGAAACATCGACATAATACTATACTGAAAGCTAGATACCCCCCCCCCCCCA